TAAAAGTTGCAAGGCATACCAGTGAGTGTTATAGCAGTTAAGATGGAAAAATATGACTAAGTCGGCTAATTGCCTACGTGCAGCAGCTCCATACAGACACCAGCCCATGCTACATACAACAGTGAGCGGCCATACTTATTGAAATCTCACCGGAAGTCTTGTGGGAAAATCTTGCGGCAAATCTAGCGAGATTACATAGTTGGTGCCTGGTGGAGTAAATTTAGAAATGGGAAATCAAGGATAAGCCTTAAAACAGCTTAGTTAAACATGCACGAGCCCATTTCTCTTTGTGTACACTCTTTTTAAAAGTTGCTGTTCTCATAGCTTTTACAAGCCTAGTGTGTCCGAACGTCCGCCCTAACACCTAAATCCCTCAATCACTATTTAGAGTGGGGACTAGGGGTGTAAATTACACATCGCGATTCGATTCATTATCGATTTCCTGACCCACCAATTCGATTATTTTCAATACTGAAGAATACACCACGATACGATTCGAATAATTGGTTCTTTTTTCTTTCTTTTTTTTACCTTACAGGCTAGACAATGTTTCAAATTTGAAATAAATAAATGAAAGCTGTAATATCGTTATGCATTTTATTTGAGAAACAACAGCAAATAACAGAAGTAGAAAAGTTGTACTCCACCTAGGCCTATTAAAACCTCATTCACTGATAAATAATAATGCCTCTGTGTTATAGATTCTGAAAGGCCTTGCTTCAAAAAATACTGTACAAAATCAGTGCAATGAGTGCAATGCAACACCTCGGCTCCAGAGTGTTGAGCAGGTATCAGAAGCCTTCAAAAAGACGTCCCCTCCCCCTCCACAGACGCTCCGCTGCACCTCTCCCAAATTGTAACTGACCGCAGACAGAAGGCCAGCTTGTTTTGTTTTTATGACCGAAATTGCGGAAAACAACTCGTGAAGGTGGTCCATCTAGAAGAGCGAGGTGCGAGAGAACGCTGGGACCCTTTTTCCACCTGGATACCTGCAATTTTTCACCGCCATGTCCCTCCGTTGTCGGAAAAACTCGCCCCCACTTCCTCACTGCTTCGGCTGTATCAAGACCCACAGCGTATAACGCAGACCACGCTTCAATATTGAGCATTAATCAAAAATGTCTGCATCAAGCTAACTGGAACACACTGCTGCAGGAGTATAACCAGGAAGCAAAGTAGGAGGGCAAAATAGGTTTAGCGCCACCGCGGCACGGGAGGGAGAATTACGCCCAGGAGCAAATGGATAAAAATAGATGGGAGGGAAAAAAAACAGGAATTGATTCTCTTGCGGACGTGTCGATGCATCGGATCGTCGGCTGTTGGATCGATGTATCGTTACAAAACGATTGTTATTTACACCCCTAGTGGGGACTATATAGTGGACTTTATAGCACACTCAGTTAACTGACCGTTTGGACGGATGATCACTACTGTTTGCACCCAATTGGTCATGTAACTCCTCCTCAACCGCACGCTGCCTGCACAATCTTTTTTTATTAGTCGCCTCTCTCAGGTAGCGACAGCTGGCTGCTATGACAGCAAATCCCATAATGCTTTGCAAGGAAAGCTCTCTGTGCAAAGCATTCTGGGATATATCTGCCTCTTCTGAGGCTTGACACTCTTTGACACTCTTTGTCTTATAAC